TTCCTAAAAGAAAACTCCTCATTCGTTATATTTCTCCTGCTTTTCCAAGTTCTTCAGATGGTATTTCCTAACTCAGGTCTGCTCAGAGGCTGCTATTCATGTTTCAAATACTGCTGTTCCTTGTTGAGTGGAGCAAGGGCAAGGCAGGGCCAGAAGTGCGGATTTGCTATTAGAGTCTTCATGACCCTCTCAGAGGTCATCGTTTGTACTCTGTCATTAAGGAAGACTCAGGCTGCACTTTGACTTTCTCAGTTCTTGTCGAGATTAGAGTCCTCAGAATAGATGTGTTGAGGTATCATTTGGCAATCAGAGCAAGGCCACTGGGTCTCAGAGTGGGCGTTAAGTTTGGGGATAAATGCTCTTGACCATTCTGGCTGTTTATAAACTCTTGGTTCTTACCCTACTGTTCCCAAGGACAAGGTCAGGCAGTTGCTATAATTTTGCCTTGTGGTCTTTTGTGCACCACCTCGCTTATTCTTTAACTGGCTCTGTGGACTTCTTAGGGTTCCCCAGTGTGCCCAGTTTTCTCTTGACTCTTCCAGGTAACTCCTCAGGCTCTTCTGGCTACCCCTTTGGGGCTGCTCCTGGGTAGAATTGGGAAATCGTTGGCATTTGCCCAACATCACTATCAAGGGTTTCCCATGATCCTCCACACCTTTCCTTTTGTATCAGTCTCTGATGCATCGCTGCCTCCCACTTATTTCCCCTGGGTACCCACAGCCCGAGTGCTGCTCCAGATGTCCACACTCCCACCTATGTCAAGGGCAGTCTTACGCATTGATCCCTGAGGAACAGAGGGTGATGATGTGCCTCCCCAATCCTGTGCCCAGGGCAGGCATCACCAATCAATCAATCATGGCCTGCTTCCCTGAGTTCAGACTCAGCATCAGAAGCATTCTTAACCAGCACTTCAGGCAAATCCCCACCAACTGATCAAGCCCAGCCATCGATTCGATGTAACCCGACTTGCCCTTGTCTGAGAGGCTTTCTGGTGTCAACTGCCCTGTTGAGATAGGTCCCAAGCATAGTCTCAGGGCTTTTTTTTTCTTTTCAAGGCTTATGATTTAAGAATCTCCTTTCTGGGGGCTGTCAGTCATAGAGCTACCTTCTCCACCTGCCTGAGTGTTACTGTTCTTCTGGATAATCCAAAGCAATTAATAGTTTCCATTTGTAAAAGGCCTACTTTGTGCTGGAGCCTAAAATGTGTAGTCTTTTTTTTTTAAGTTTATTATTATTGTTTTTGATGGTGAGAGGTAATTAGGTTTATGTATTTACTTACTCATTTATTTTTAGTAGAGGTACTGGGGATCGAACCCAGGACCTCGTGCATGCTCCACCACTGAGCTATACACGCCCCCCAAGATGTGTAGTCTTTTGTTGTCATGGCAACCTTGCAGATAGTTACCATTAACCCCAGTTTACAAATAAGGCTCCAGTTGTTTCAATGACTCTGACTAAGATAACAAGTGCTAGTAAGTGTGGAAGTTCAAACCCAGGGTGTCTCTACCCTGTAGGTAAGCTCTTTCCTTATTTCTCCCTTTGAGTTCTGAGTTAGGGGGAAACCTCCCTCCTTCACATCTGGGAGAATAAGATCCTTTCCTTCCTACTCAGGTCCCAGGGACTTGAAGGACTCATGTTTCAGGTTTGAAGGATGCTTAGCCGAAAGACCCTTAGAGAAGCCCCCATGTGTGTAGCTGTCCCTTGCTCCGGATGCTACAAGAATCTACCACTGGAGGCTTGAACTGGGGGCACCCAGGCGAGGACCTCCTCCTCTGACACATTGCTGGCAGAGCAGCCCACCGAGGCTGCCCTCCGCTGCACTCCGGTCCTACAATGACAGCAATGGTCGGATTGGGAGCAGCCTCCCATTTCCTGCGCCCCTACCACATGCCAGGCTCCGTGCTGGGTGCTCTGAGCTCAGGTGCTGTGGTCCCATCTGCGGTCTCGGCACCACAGCGCGTCACAGCGCCCCAAATAAACCCACTCACTCCTCTAGATGGTCCCGCAGGGGAAGCGCCCCACAGATGGGAACCAAGAAGGAACGAGGCAGGAAACGTAGCTTCCAGCCGGACATTTGGAGGGAATGCGAGCCATATGGCAAAGGGAAGACATCTCTCGGCGACTGTCCACAGGGATCCCAGGTCCCAGCCCAGGAGACTTAATCAAGAGCAGATACGAGAAAAGCAGAACCTGACAAACAGATTCAGCCCTTTTTCACGCTGTTGGTGGTTCCTGGCACCGTCTGGCACCGATGTCTCCATCGGCCAAACACAGGATTTGGGGAGGGCTCTGAGGGAAATCAGTGGGGTCCCATGGCAGTCACTTCATACCTGGAAACCAAAGGTGTTTTCTTCTTTTCTATCAGGAGGGAGAAAAATGGGTCAGAACAAACAGCCTCATTCCACGTAAAATCTGATGAAACGCTGGTTGTCGGGCCTTGGCGATGCCTGGTACACGGGGTGACCGTCCATTTCCAGCTTGCCCAGGACAGTCCCGGGTTATGCTGGTTGTCTCGGTGTAATTACAAGATGCACCCCTCTTTCCACTAAAAAGTGTCCTAATTTTGACAATAAATTGACTATACAGTCACCTTTTTACACAGCGGGTTTCAGCAGACTGTCTTTTGGGCCTGCACGCAATCCACTGGGTTGAATATATTTCCAGCCTTCGAGAAAAAGTTCGTCTGCACAGAAATCCACTTGGTCAGAAAGTAGCCTGTACTGCTGGTAAAAATTTCCACACTGTTCCCCCTCACTCTGCTGCACACAGCCCTACACACACACACACACGTCTGGTGTCAGGCACATCTTACATCAGTCTTACAAGCTTTCATGCATCTCAGTTCCATAGCCAAAGGTCTGCTGGAGTCACAGGAAGGTGCAGATATGGAAGCTTTGAGTGGATTTAGCAGGGATGCCCCAAATTTCCCTACTGTGCACAAGACTCTGGGGAGTGGGGCTCGGTGCCTCCCACGTATGAAGTGGGCACAAATTGGGCCATTTGTGCGTCAAACGGGGACAGGCTGACCTCTTTTGTGTCCCTTCCCATCTTGCCCCCAACCCCAACCCAACCCCAGATGACTCATCCTAGGATCCCTTTTCTATTCACTTCCAAAACAGGGTATTCAGTTTCCTCGAACAGCCAAGATAAACTGGCCAGATAAACACTGGCCGAGAAAATTGGGGTTCCTTGGCTGGTTCTTGAGCAGTTCATCTCAGCAGGGGTAAAGCTCTGTCATCAGGACAGCATTTCATCTTGGAGCCACACCTTAAGGCTTCGATCCTGTCACGTGCAGTTCTGAAGGCCAATCAGGAGGATTTGGGACGCCCCTGTTCCCTCCTGAATGTGAGAACCGGACCTCTCCCGCAGGCTAAGAAAGGAAAGCAGAAACCACTCCCTATGGGACAAGAGTGCCACCTAGTGGCGGAAGCGTGCCACTTTCGTTTGAAAGAAGACACACCCAGAGCCCATGGAATCTGTCCGGTGCTTGCTAGGGGTTATTTTATTTGATGTTCACAGCATGGAGGTGCTTTGGGATCAGGAATTTAAAAGACACAGTCCTTGTCCTCAGAGAAGCCAGAGTTTGTTGGTGGGACGCTGGCATGTAAAAAAAACACAAACAGAATAGAGCTTGATTATTGCTGGGCTAGGCGATTGTGGGGTCTTTTGGAAACACAGACCAGGGACACTGACACTGCTATCAGCTTCCCGTAGTATCGGCTTCTGTCAAGTCCAAAGAGCAAAGGAAGGACATATCCGAAGCTAATTCCTGCGGGTTTGCAGAGAACAGGAGAAAAAAGTTACACAGCGAAAATTTCTTCTGCTGAGTTATTTTCGGACGTTAGGATTATTTTATTTTGACTCTGTATATTCTAATTTTCTCACAATAAATGTCTATTGCTTTTGTAGTGAAAAAATTTTAGTACACAGAAAATATAATCTGAAAAGGAAGTATTTTCTGTTTCAAGCTAAGTAAGTGAAAGATGCCTTCCTGGCCACAGCAGAATGTCTGATGTCAGCGACCCCTGGGTGTCAGCAATAGCTCACCTAACTCGGGGATGGGTGGCAAACAAGAGAACCTCCCAGTTCCATTTTCCATAGGAAAGGACTTTTCTAGCTACATTTGACTCTGTTCTCATCAGATGTCCTATTAACTTGCATATCAAAATTCATGGTCTTGACCCGAAGAGCCGCCTTATCTGAGGCACACACCTCCATTCTCCATGTTTTCCAACTTAAGGAACACATTCCTCAGACGGCTGCGAAAAGCCAGTGCAAACAGAACTTTTTTTCCAGAAGAACTTTTTTTTAATTTACAGTATCATGATTGGTGTGTGTGTGTGTGTGTGTGTGTGAACACACACATATTCTTTTTCATTACAGGTTACTAGAAGCCATCAGAACTCTTTTTCTCTCATTACACGGTGGACGGATGGTTTTCATCTTTAACGTAACATGTATTAGCTTCTTAAAAAGCCCATCCTATACTGGATTGCGGGAATATGAAGCCTCTTTCAATGTCACCATGAACTTGAAAGCAACCGTGGCCGTGGGTATCAAGCTCTGAAAGGTAATACGGGTACCTGAGCCATGTTTGAGTCACCGAAGACACACCTGGATCCGGCAGAGGTGTGCCAGATGCAAGCTCTGGGACGGAGCACTCGCGGCCTTGCTGTGAGGGAGGCTTACACCCAGTTTACTGGGCGGCAGGCTCTCTCCTGACTGGAATCCTGGAGGAGTTAGGCCTGGGTTTACAGGACCCTTGACTGCCTTTAGGAATGGAGGTGACAGGTGAGATTGTTGAAGAGTCCTGGTCCTGGGGGAGTCACTCCTTCTCACGTAATGTCACACAAGTGTACAGGGCCTGGGCGGGGTCAGGAGACAGACACCATCATCCACATACCAAAACCAAAGAGGCGCGGACTCATTCTTCAGCCCTCGCTGGCTACCTTAGGATGGTTCACTATTCTGACATTTCAAAAAAAGGCCATCCAGAAATGTATTTTCTCGAAAGAAACATTTATTTATGATCTTTATTGGTCAAACAGTTTCAAACAAACCCAGAAGGGGTGTTCACATGTTGAGCCTTTGGTGAAAACACACCGTGCCCTCCATGAAACGAATGCTGACCCCCGTGGGGCACCCCCCCCCCGCAAGCCCTGAAATGCTGGGATGACCGAGCGGGCAGGGGACAGCCCACGTGACACAAGGCTGCTCCAAGAAGGGCATGATTTAAACCTCCGGTGTTTTTTCACAACATAAATGTACTTAAGACTTGTGATTCCCACTTCTTCATTTCAAAACCAACACCCCAAGAATCAACTCTCCCTTTAAATAAAAAAAATAATCGATTTATACTCTTGAGAGAACTCCAACAATGTAAAATAAGTTCCAGCCCCATATATATATATATCTGTACATTTATAACTTAGGCGCTCTGTTTCTCTATATGCGTCTACTCATGCGGCGGGGCGGGGGGGTGTGGGGCTACAGGGGCCTCTCGGAGGACGCGGTGTAGCTCCTCGCCCTGGCGAACAGCAAAGGCGGGTACATCTTGTCGATCTCGAAGGCAGTGACTGCCGTCTCTCCGGTCGGTCTGGAAAAGAGAGCACATGGTCACCCGTGACCGGGAGATCTCAACTCAGTTAAGACCCTGGTATGTCTGGGAGTGGGGAGTGACTTTGGGCTTCAGCCTCTTTAATTTTTGATTCATCTCAGTCCATGCGAAGCAGCAGAGGTGTATCGCAGAAAATGTGAAAAATTTACAAAAGGAGAACCGCGCACCACCCCACCACCCAGACGGAGCCGCAGGAAGCCCTTCGTTTAGGGCTGCTTCTAAGCATCTCAACTCCACCATCGAGCTTTACTGAGATCACCCTGTCAATTATCCTGCTTTTTAAACACTGACATAAGCATCTCCTCACATCATTAAATACTCTTCAGAAGCCATTTCTATGGCCACATAATATTTCACTGTCTGTATATATCACAATTCACCCAACTCCCCTTCTGTCAGAGATTTAGATTGTTTTCAATATTTGGCAATTAAAAGTAACATTGTAATATTTTTGATTATGCCCTTTACATAGATGCCTAAGAGCAGAATTTCTAAGTCAAAGGCTATGGACATTTTAAAGCTCTTGATAAAATGTGCATCAGAAAGAATTATAATCCTAGAATAGAACTTAATGATTTGATATTTGCATGATCAACAGCGTAATTTCAGGCTGAGGGGGGAGCAGGCGACGAGTTATATGACCACCGCCTTTTATTTTCTCCTAAAAAAAAAAGAAAAACAAAAGCAAAATTCAAATGACTTCATAAATACGATAAGGAAGTCAACGTGGTCAGCAGCAGCTACAAACGACGTCCTTTCTTTCTCCTAAAACATGATGCTTTTCATTGGCTTGGTCCTACTTTCTGATTTTGGTTTCTTTGAAAAGGAAAAAAAAATTTTCCACTTTAGACATTATTCAGAGAAGCAAAAATAAAACGGCAGGATTGGCAGGCCAGGGTGAGAAGAAAGAACAGTGCTCTTTCTCCGCTATCAGGACCCTCCACATGAGAGGCAAGTTACTTGTAAGGTAGAAATGTGAGCAGGGAAGTTTTCGACATTGTGGTCGAGGTCGTGAAGCAGGTTAACGGCAGATGACCTCACATTTTGCCCATCAGAATTTTGGATTCAACTGGAATGGAGACCCTCGGTCACATGCCAGTATTCCTTCACACGCAACCACAGCTAAGTCAGGACCCGCACCGACTGACATTTCACTTTCCTAATTGCTTTTTCAAGTACTAACTTCTGCACTACTCCTTTCTCATGCACTGTCATCTGCTCAGTGATGATTCCATCCGAGTAAATCTCAACAAAAAGCACAAAGAGCTGAAGCTGGAACCACTGACAGCTTCGGCTTTGGAGTACCGGAGACATTTTCAGCAGCCTTACTTTCCTAACTACAGCTCATCTGAAATCTGTGTATGATCCCCGGGGATAAACCAAGTAGGGAAATAAAGAGAAACATTGTACGACTGAAACATGGGAGAAGAAAAGAGACCTGGTGTTCCATGACTGCCTCGTGCGAGTCGGAGGATGAAGTCAGGGCGGACAGCTCGGTGACCCAGCGCCGCCCCTACTCATGGAAACTGCCCGCACCCCGCGCGGGGGGCCCGCCGCGTCCCCCGGGCGCCGCAGGGGAGCTCCGGATGCCCCACGTCTTGGCCCACTTTTCGTTTTTCCCAAGCTAGCTGCTCTCTTGGTTTGCAGGAGAGTCACAGCGTGTAATTGAACATTAACTCTGAGGAACCAAACCCCATCGGAGAGGCCCCTTGGCCTGACGGGGAGGACACCGTGGTTCTGTACCCCTGGGGTTTTCACTGCGACCACCTACTTGTAGGTGATGTGACAGGAATGATGGATCCAGATGAGTTTGTTGAACCTCTGGTGACCACTGGAGCACAGCTGCAGCCCCACGTGGAAACTCTGATCAGCCTCTTGTACGGGGACGCGGCGGAAATACCGGAACTTATAGTCAAGCGGCTTCTGTGAAAGGAAAGGCACACGGGCAACAATGAAGCCTCGCTCCACGGACAGAGAGACACAGGCAGAGGGCTGGGCGGACATCCACACATAGACATCTTAAGAATACGCTACGTGAGAGTGACACACAAGCCACATCACATCCGCACACAGCAAAGAGCTGTCTTGGTTATCAACTGGGAACGCGCATGAGCGCCTGGGAGAACGTGCAAGTGCTCTGAACACAAAAGGCTTGTCCTCCATCATCATCTCAGTCAAGCATCCTGTGAAGTGGGACCAGGGCAGGCAGCCACGTCCACCAAAGTCACGCAGCTGCTGTAGATGGGAACTGAATCTCCTGTCTCCCATCTCCAAGCCTAGGGTTTCCTTCTGTTCGAAAAGACTTGGGAATTTTTCAAGAGGTAAAGTGATAAACTGGGGAAGGCTGCAGATAAAGCGCCAAGTCTAACTTCTCTTTTGCAACAACAGTAAAATGGTCAACAGAGAAACGGAAGTGTTGGGTTCGCTGGAACCACGTCAGCAAATACTGCTAAAAACACAAGAAGGTCAATACGACACATGGTCCTACCGTGTCATATTCTGAAGAGAAAACTGGTGGTCAGCATGGGAATTCCTAAACTCTTTCATTAGATAAAATCTCAAGTAGGGCCTCATAACTCCCTAGCTCTGATGACCTCAGGAAACTCACGGCCAAGGTCACAGTGACAGCAAGGATCTCTGCCCCTCTGCCCACTGTCTCTGACTCCAGGAGCCAGAGAGGCCACAGCTGAGGGCCAGGGGGTGACAGGACTCAGATGAAACCCCGCTGTAACCATCCCCACTCCCGGGGCTGGGGGTGGGGACTGGAGACCTAAACACAAGGGAAACTTTGTTCAAAAATGGTATTAATTATAAATGCAATAGGCTAGTATTTATTCCAACTACCCCAAAACTGACTTCCTGGGTACACATTGTAGTTTTTAACCAGGATCGAAACAATGCACGTGGAGAAAAGCTGTGAACAAAATCAGACCCTTATTATGTCAAGAGTAAGGTACTCTGGATGTAATAATTCAGCCATCATGTTTGCTCGGCATTTTTTCCCTTTTGCAAGAACAGAAAGAAGGCAATGATCTCACTTCAGCTTATTTCCAGTAGAAACAGAAATTTGAAAAACACCCTTGTGAAAGGATTATCTATATGAGACAATTCAGGTTAATCGCCTATGATTCAAAATGAGAAAAGCCAAAAAAACCATAATTAGACATAACTGTAACTAGTTATTCCACAGGAAATAATTTCGGCTCTGCGATTTCATGTGTTAAAAAACCTGGACCAGAGAAGGAAACCTGGAGCAGAATTAAGTTGATTCAATAAAAATTAACCACATTTTAGAAAACCCTCCAGCTCTCTTCAGAGATATGCTGTTAAGTCAACACCCATTTTGCGAACAGCAGAAATTATGAGACAGTATTCTTTATCCTTTTCTAATCAAGAATGTGTGAATGCGTGGGGCACGGAAGTTAAAAGAAATGTGCCAGCTCCCCCTTTGCATACTCACTTCTTCTTTTTTCTTAGTTATCACAGCAAATACTTTGGTCTGATTGTCTGTATCTTGTGACAAGCGATAATGACCCAGTAGAATTGCTTCCGTTCTGAAAATGAGAGAATATATATACTTTAAATCAGTTACGTGCATTTATTTAAAGTCACAGAGAAACTAACGGGCGAGAAGTGTTTACTCAACGCGCCTGAGGACAATCAGCTAGCGTGCTGAGTAAACCTGGTTTCCAAGGCCCCAGATCCACTGAAGGACGTCTCCAGGGAGAGGCCCAGGGACTGGCATTTTTTACAGGCACCCCCGATAACTGCTTTTCCGATCATCCAGTTTTCAGTTACAAAATCTCCAAGTTACCACCCAAAACACGGGCTGGACGGAAAACTGCAGAATGAACTACCTGGTATTCCTCGTCCTCAGCCGCGGCACAATGGACTGGGGCTCCTCGGGGGTGGTCAGCATCATCACGTGGCCGTCCGGGAAGAATCTTATGTACCTGCAGACACGGGAAACGCAAGCACAGGACATGTCCTTATTTACTGGTACCTAAACCTATTCACGGCTGTGAAACCAAAACGGAAATCCCACGGGCCAAAGAACTGGTGAAACATCTCTGGGACAGACGTGCCTGAAACCCGTGAGGCCAGCAGCAGGGAATGAAAGCATTTTATTACCTTCCTTCGAGGGGACGGTGGAACTTCTAGTTTCACTCGCCAAATGAACTGGATTAAATATTGCTCTGTTAAAGTTCTGTGTGTTTTTCCCTGAAGCACTAATTAACATCAAACAGAACTGCGGTCCGATGATATTACACAGTAGTTAACACGGTCTGCTTGTTTCTCAAGGGCAGTGGTAGCTGGTGGACAAGGACGCTGAATCACAGCACGAGCCCTCTGGGAAGGCAAATGAGCCCACCAAGGGCGGGAGGCAAGGAACAGCTCTGAAAATATAAATTCTTAAAATTTACAGCCAGGAGGAATTAATTATCTTAGCCTACTGGTTCTTTGAGCGCGGTTTGTGTGGAATGCCGGATAAAAACACCGAGGGCCATTCTGCAGATAAATACAAAGGCCAGAAAGAGCAGGTGTCCAATAACCAACAAACCAGCCGTCGGAGAGGGAGCGTTTCTCACTCGCTCAGTTTCCTGCAGGCGTACCTGTAATATTCCACCTGGTGCCAGGCTCGATAGAAACCATCGAGAGACTGTTCCCCTTGACGGATATACGTGGTTTTACTGATGTACACGCCTAGGAAAAGAAACAGATTTTTAAAAAGAACACAATACACAGCTTTTAATGCTACAATCATGTAACACGTTTCCAGCTTTCCTTTATCGTGGTTTCCTTTAAAGGTGCTTGTGGTACTCAGGTCCGTCACGGAAAATTAAGACTGTGTATTCATCAAAATCAGCACGACAGATCGCTATTTCTCTGAAGAGTTCAACTTACCATCAAACCGAACACGGGGCCTTTCTAAAAACATCTCTCTCCAGGATGTGTACGGAACAAGTTTAATACAGCTTCTGCCCCAAACTTTCAAGCAGGCCAGACGCCAGATTTCAGGGTCTCTAGGTAATAAAAGCACATCAGTACATATAATACTAACTCCCTCTACGCTCTCAGACATGAGAAACATTCCTGCTACCAGCCACCATCTACTCAACAATGCTGGCCGGGTGCCTGCAGGCACTGCCCTGGACACTGGGGACAGACCGATGGACAGGGCAAAGGCCCTGCTCTTTTATAGGGAAAGCAAACAAAAATAAAAGGAAGAGAGAAAAGTGTTAAGTAGTGTGCTCAGTGCACAGACAGACAGACAACGCAGGGTAAAGGACAAGGATGATGGTGGAGGGGAAGCAGGGACTCATTTTTCTGGGCAGGGGTCTACAGTGAGGAGGAAGGGTATTTTGGCAGCAGCCACAGCGTGCAAGGCCCTCAGGCTGGAGTGTGGCTGGTGTGCAGGAGCAGGAAGGATCACACGGCTGCAGCAAAGTGACAAGGTAATGTGCAGACCCCCTGAACTGAGAGGGGACAGGGGCAAGTGAGGTCGTGGTCTGCAGCGGGGAGAGGCTGGCTGAGTGAGGTGGAGGCCCCTGGAGGGGTCTGAGCATGGCTAATGCTTTCCAGTGATCACTCTGGGGGTCTATGGAGGATGTGCTCCTGGAACGTGGGAGTGGGAGCCCAGAGACCACACTGGACGCCGATGCCACAATCCGGACCGGGCCTAACGGGGGCAGAGCCAGAACAGTACTGACGTGTAGCTTAACGCTCAGACTGGAGATACATCCTGCAGGCAGCACCAAGGCTCTGTTGTGGGATTAGTGCAAAAAGCGAAGCAAATGACAGACAAAACTGACATGATTCTAATACAGCTCAAATCAAATCAAAACCCTTGCACCACTGGGATAAATCCCACTTGATCATGGTAAATGACCCTTGCTGTTTGCTGCTGAATTTGGTTTGCTAGTATCTTGTTGCAAATTTCTGCGTCTACGTTCCTCAGGGACACCGGCCCGGGGCCTCCCTCTCCAGCAGAGTCCCTTTATCCAGCTTTGGCATCAGGGTGATGCTGGCCTCGTATCAGAGTGTGCCCCCCTCTTTGATTTTTGGGAAGTATTTGAGAAGGACTGGTGTCAATTGTTTAATCGTTCTGAAAACTTCACCAGTGAAGCCCTCTGCTCCTGGACTTTTCTTTGTTGGGAGTTTTTTGGGGTTTTTGTTTTTTTCTTTTTTGGGGGGAGATTTTTGATTACAGATCCAATCTCTTTGCTAGCAATTGGTCTATTTGGATTTTCTACTTCTTCCTCATTCAGTCTTGGTAGGTTGTACGTGTTTAGGAATTTTTAGGATAACTTTTAATGGGACAAAAGAAAATTCTGGTGCCATCTAAATTTAAATCATTATCAAGTTTGGAGTTACTGTAAAAATGACTTAAGTGTAGTTCTCTAGCATAATTCTTTCTCCAAATCAGCTAAGCCAGCATGCAAACCACCCTGCGGAAGTTAACGTGTGACTATGTTCCGTGTGTTATTCTAGACCCTGGAAACCTAGTGCCTTCTAGCCACGGCATGCTAAGCTGTCTGAGCAAACCCACTTAAGGACGGCTTAGCAAAACTGTTCATTCTAAGCTTTTACCTAGAATATCCATCAAGTTCTTGTATCAAAAGAATAATTTCAAAAGAATACTTTCTTTTGGCAAAAGACCATAATCCTTTTTTCAAACACTGCCGGAGTTGCTTTAAATAAAAAAAAAAAAGTAAGTACCTGGCGCAGATGTAGAATCCCCTGCACACCTGTGACAACTGCTCTAAAGACCTGAGGTCCAGGTCGCTGGACACCACCCATCGGAAGACGTACATGAGCACCTCCATCGGCAACGCTGCAACAGAGGACGCGTCCCCTCAGCGACTCTCCCTCCCGCGCGCCCGCTCCCGGCACGTCCCCAGGGCAGACACCTTTATGAACTCCTGAAGTGTTAACAGCCACACCTTCAGCGCTGCTCAGAGCTACGCACCAGTGCATCCAACTACCCCAAAGCGAGACACACACACCTTCGTTTTTCCAGCACAGGACAGATCCGAAGCTACTTTCGTAAGCATGTCTCTCTCTCTCAGATCTTTTTACCATCGAGATGTATAAAAATAAGCCTTAGGAAAATAGTACACATGCGTGTGTGTGATCCCTGTTGCATTTGTGACATTAAATAAAGTTACTTTCATCTCCCTGAAAATTTTCAATTGTCTTCCTCTGAGAAGTCCCGTAAGTGAACAGTGTTTAACACATGAAAAGAAAGAAGAAATTCATTTTTAAACCTTCGGTCTATCTCAGGACTAGCGTCCAACGTGGCTGAAATGCCTGCCGACACCAGGCCTCCTCCCGCTTTCTTAGGGCTGCCCCACAACTTGGACACTCACCCTCTCAGAGCTCCACTGAGAAAAGAATGGCACCCTTCAACAAGGGCGCCACTGCCCTCTTTCTGATCCTGGTTACAGCCTGGCCTCCCACCAGATTCTGACCCAGAGCAGTGGCCTGACGAGCTATCTGACCTTCTCGGCTTGGAACACCTAAATCTTAAGGTCAAGCGTTTCTCCCTGAAGGGTAACGCGCGTGAAGTCGCACCTGATATGTGAGTCTGGCTGCTCTCGAGCTCAGGCTGACACAGTTTGAGCGCAGACTCCTGAAGCGTGAGCTGCTGCTGGAAGGAGGCCAGGAGGTCGGCCACCTTGCTGTCTTCATCACTGTCTTCGATGCTGAGAAAAGACAGGATGTGAGGGAACCAGCGCCTCGGTCCACACACTGACTTCCACACAGTACTTTCAAATCTGCTCTACAAAAAGTCGTCTAAAAGCAAACTTCTTACTACTTTATTTATTTATTTATTTTGGATATGATAAAAAGTTTACTCTGCTTTGCAAAGGAATATCATACCAGTTTTTTTTGGGCGGGGGGGCTTTAGCAACTTTAATTCCCACAGAGAAAGAATTAGAACTTCTGGAGATAGGTACTGAGATTTAATTAATTCGTTTTATTGTAAACATTTCCTGAATTAGTAAAAAAGATAATTTCAAATGATTAAAAAAAAAACTTACGTAAATATATCCTTTTAAGTGACCATCATCCACACTAACTGAATAAAAATAAAATATGCAGACGTCACCTGAGATGCTGACTTACCAAGGGATTTTTTAACCTATGTGTCTTATGACCCTTTAGAGAGGAAAATATGTAATTAAAAAAAAAATCTTAGTACGGCCACAAATAATCTATCAGTACAAACAAATGTGTAGTTAAGAGTTCTAGAAAAACAGCTAGCTTTCCATTTTTGCTAAAGTTAACTTTAAAAACGATCAGACTTGCAAAAAGGCTGGATGAGGATGAAGTCAGAAAACCAGGAAGGCTTATTATGACAACCAAGGGCACGTCTGGCTGAGGTCGGCTGGACCCCATTGCGATGCTACTGACTCTTACAGGAGGCAAAAAACCAGCAGAGATTTTTAGGGCCTACGCGATCCGGTAAGAAAATACACAACTCTGTCCTTAAAGCACTTTGGTAGCATCTGGGTTTGTATGATGGGACAGGAGGTCTGAACAACTCTCTCCAAACTGAAGGAAGGCTGAGAAAAAGCCCAAACGAGTCCTTTCGAGTATGAACTGTTAAATCGAACTTGGTGAACAATATTTCTAGCCCAAAAGTTCCAGCAGGCAATGGACGCTGACTTCACTGGGATATTTTTAATGTGGTTTAGCCAAAGCTTAAGTGTTAATACTATAAGCAGTTAAGAAACCCTGGCTATCAGCACCAGTTATGGATGAAAGTAACTTCAAGTGTTTCATGGCAGAGGTAATATAATAGTTAACATAATACCTCATTACCAAGATCCTATTTTTCTATGTAATGCTCATTTTAAACTTGATAAATCTCTAGTGGGAACGGACTCCCTTCCCTTCTAAATATCAGCCAGCTGGGCTTTGGGGGAGAGAGGGATTAAGCCAACACAATTTTGTAACTGTTTTACAAATAGCTTCGAAAGTCTGGCTTAAAAACATGTCCTCTTGAGCTCTGTCAATGCTGCTCCATGACTGATGAGAGTGGCATCTACACAAAGCAGGTGGTTTCTTTGGGGAGCGCTTACGTCCTGCTCCTGGGCTTTTAAACAAATGTTACAGGCTTAACAATGTTCTGTCTGCAGCAAGGTCTGGTTAGAGTCCAGCATTTTCCTAATAAAATGAAAAGCCTTTTAAGAAATGTAGTTTCCAACAGAGAACCAGGGTAATGAAACCCCACGTACCCGATTTCAACCATTATTATTAACCTTTTTCAGCTTTGGCCTGATTACATTTTAATAGTTTTGACTTGATGTAGGTTTCACAAAGCTGAAATGTGTCCTTTAATTTCCTTTCATAGACACTGCTTTTATTAGAAACAAAAATTCTTCCGTCACCTTATTTTTGTTTTATTGGTTTAAAATGTGCATTTCTGTACTTCAACCTTAAAATTTCCCTACTTAAGAAATTTCTACAACTTTATAAATAAGCCTTTAGAATAAAGACTATAGAATTTCACAGAAGTAGCACCATCTTCTTATCATGTGAAGAGTCAACAGGGCAAAGACTGTTAACAAACTCTTATGTGTTACTATCAAATCATATACGCACTAGCTGTTTCCAACGCCATCACCATCTGGAGATCGGGTATAAGTGATCTTGAACTCTATATCAGGCACCAGCTGCATAGCCCTACGATAAAACTTGATGGCTAAAAGGAGAAATAAAGCTAAATTAGCTATGACCACACATTTTCGTCATTTCCTTTGCTTACCCTAAGCTGTGGTTTAATCGGGTAACTTGCCTTACAAACAGCCAAATTCCCTTTTTCTACATGCAACAGTGGTTCAGTGCACAAACGTATTTCCAAACGTTCCTGTCTAGAAACCATCTTTCTTTTTTCTAAAGCTCTCATGTTACAGAAGCTTTAAGACACTGCACTTCATCTCTATCTTTCAGCCCATCTTTCCCCTCGGCCTCTTAAGGGTCGTCAGACGGGATCTTATACGTGGGCGTCCTTCTTTGGGCTTTGAAAACGCCATTGCTGCAGCCCCAGCAAAACACCACCTTTGAGCAAACTTCCAGGAGGCAGAGTTGAGGAAAAGCAAATGCTTCCTGCTGACTGGAATACAGAGGAGTTTTTTCGAATTTATCCTTCAAATCCAACTTCCTTTCGTCTAGCTGCTTCTTATTTAGCTGAATAACCTGTAAAACCTGTTTATAAATCTCCTGGCCGGGCGGCTCAGAACTAGGACATCCAGCCACCTGTCCCACGGACACGTGCCAACGGGACTGGGGCTGAGGAGGCCGCCACCTCCGGCCCCTCCGCTCCACACACCCTGGGTGACTCACTGTCCACCACGCACAGTCAGGGCTCTCACGAGCCAATAAAGGCCGTGGAGGGATGTCACCGTCTGGGCCCTCTTACTGTCTCAGAGTAAAAGTACCACTAGGAGAAACGTGAACTTTGAAGATGTTGCTTTGGGTCCAGATGACTCAAGCTCAAGCACTTCCCCCCCATGCCCCGATTATTAGCTTTTCTGTCACAAAAATGAAGGCCTAATTACAAACCCAATCCGGTAACAGCCCCACCCCTTGGTCTGCTTACACATTTCTACTGGCCTAAGGAAAGAAGCAAAAGCTGTAAATTAGGATTTAGGAAACGTGTACATATTCCTCAGTCTATCCTTTACATACCCCTCCTCTGAAGTCATTGTCACCTCTACAAGGGGCATATCCTATTTTCAAACGAGGAACAATATTTTTAGGACTTTAACCATGAAGAATGAACACAGACGAACCCCTGAATGTAGAAAAAGGTTATCTTACTCATCCTACCCCTATGATGTCTCCCAGGAATACTTTTTGGAAAGAGACAGGTTATATAAAAATACACTTTTTATTTTTGATTTTTAAAAAATATAGGCAGACTGACGTTCTACACTAAATGTATTCTAGCAAAACATAAAATAAAATTGGTCAGTAACAAGGAGTCATTAACCCAGACGATCCTGGGCCCTGAGGTCTCACCTTCATAGAGAGCTCCGTTTTGTTCTTCTTCAACTGCTTTTAGGAATAGTTCACGAGCCTGTAAACAGTGAAAAACAATTTCTGAAAGTCCACGTTAAAAACGAGTGCAGGGGGCGGAGGGACAGCCCCTTCAAGGAACGGTGCTGGGACAGTCAGGCCCCCGCAAGCAGGACAGTGAATGTCGACCTTCACTTCACATCTGACGTAAGACGTTAACTCAAAAACAGGTGGAGGACTTCAACGAGAAACTTAAAAAACTTTTAGGAAGAAAAAGAGAAGGAAACCTTGGAGACCTAGGACTCGGCAAAGAGTCCTTACACTTGACACCAAAAGCACAATCCACAGAAGGAAAATTTTGCTCATCTGAACCTCATCAAAATGAAACACTTTTGCTCTGTGAAATACCCTGAAAAGAGGCTGAAACGACAAGCCACAGACTCAAAGAATTCACGAGCCACGTGTTCAACACAGGACTCGTACTTGGAATACATAAAGAACTCTAGAAACTCAACAGTGAAAACACAAGCAATCCAATTAGAAAAGACAAACAGCCATTTCACAGAGAGAAGAGAAAGACGGCAAACAGCACGTGAAAAGACATTCAATATCACTCGCCATTTAGGGAGACACAAAGTATCACAAGGAGGCATCGAAACGCCATCTATCAAAACGGCTACAGTGTGAAAGTGATAAGAACACAAAACGTGGACGGGGATGCGGGGACCCTCACAGGCTGCTGGAAGGAACACAAGATGGTGCGGATGCTCTGGAAAACGGTTTGGCAGTTTCTCTTAATCAAAGATGCACTTACCATACACCTCAGTAATTGCGCTCTTAGCCCAGAGAGATGAAAACTTATGTTCATGCAAAAACCTGCAGGTGAATATTCAGAGCAGCTCTTGCAATGACAGCCCCAAACTGGAAACAACGCCCCAAATGTCCCTCCACAGGTGACTGGTTAAACAAAGCGGGTACATACACACCACGCAATACCCCAGAGCAGTGAGAAGCAACTACTGACGCACACGGGAAATTGGGATGGATCCTAAAGCAGCCGTGCTGAGTGAAAAGAAGCCAGTCTCAAAAGGTCACATTTATACCACATTTTTTGCATATCAAAATTACAGAAGTGGAGGCCACTTGTGGCTGCTGGTGGTTAGGAATGGCTGGGAGGAGGCAGGGAGGAGAGAGTGTAACCAGCACAGTGCAGCCTGAGTGAGCCTTGTGGTGACAGAACAGTTCTGCATCCTGACCGTGGCTGTGGTTACATGAAGCTGCACATGTAATAAAAGCTGCAGAGAGCTGTTTATATGCATACCCACAAACAAAAGTGCTTGTAACCCTGGGAGACCAGAACAAGCTCTGTGACTTGTACCACTGTCCATCTCCCAGAACTCAGCCACGGAAGGGGTCCGGGTGGAGGGAGGCCGGGGAAGGCGCACAGGACTTTCCCGTACTAGGACACTCTATTTCAAAATTAACATTGACAAAACGGATATGGAAGTTTTCAGTTAGCAAGATGACGTTGATTATTTAATGGCGAACTGTCATAAACACACACTCGGACCTGATGGTGTGAAGAGGACAGCCTCCGTGGAGTGACAGACTACGGTCAGCCCTCCCCCTCTGCAGACTCCATGGCCTCAGACCCAACCAACTGCAGATCTAAAATATTTGAGAAAAAAATTCCAGAAAAGTGATGAAAAGCAAAACTTGAATTTGCTGTGCACTGGCAACTATTTACGTAGCATTTACAACTATTTCCAGCATGTTCACATTGTCCTAGGTATTTTAAGTAATCTGGACAACCTAAATGTCCATCGACAGATGACTGGATAAAGAAGCTGTGGTATATTTCTACAATGGAATACTATGCATCCTTAAAAGAGAATAAAATACTGCCATTTGAGCAACATGGATGGACCTGGAGATTGTCTTTCTAAGTGAAGTCAGCCAGAAAGAGAAAGAAAATACCATATGATATCGCTTATATGTGGAATCTAAAAAAAA